GATCTACACTTCCTCATCTCAGATCTAAACTTTTTCTTCAGATCTAAACTGTATACTTTGAGATCTATGTTGGATGAAAGATCTGAACTTCTTTCCTTCAGATCTGAACTTTTTCTTCAGGTCTAGACCGTATATGTATTTTATGCTTTGAAAGTTATGTTGGATAAAAGATGTAAGCTTTGTTTTACATATCTGGACCATGTATGTATTTTATATCTACATATATGTTGGGTAGAACATGGGTAGATAAAATAGTTGGTGTGTGGTGAAATAAAATGATGAGAGGCCTCGATGTTGACGTTGATCCAGTCATCTAGCGGAGTATGGATGACGACCACAGACTTTTCTAGGAAGTCCAGTGGAACGCTAGCAGGCTCGCAACCTGTAGGTGTTGTGAACAAAGTGTTCACCGGTGTACTCCATCCCCCCCCCCCCCCCATGGTTGACTTACGGACACATATGGCTGAGGAATCCCCTTAGCAGTAGTGTCCATCCTGATGAAATTCCTTAGGATAAGTCTCTTATGATAGATGCTTTAGGGACGTAAGGTGAGGATAACGGGAACGGGTAATCGGGTTTAATGATTGTTGAAATAATAAACTTATTTATTGTGAGTTGAAAACCCTATATGCTCACCAGGCTCCCGAGCCTGACCCACTCAGTTTCTTGTATTACAGGTAGTGGCAAAAGCATAGTTGGATGATTTGACGAGAGATTGTGGATTTTAGGCCAGTAGATAATAAATGGAATATTGTAAGGCCTATGTTGTTTTGAGGTCAGGTTGTGTTTTGTGGCCTATGATGTTTTTTTTTGGCTTATGCTTATGATCTGTATCGATGATTGACATCCCGAGTTTTTTGTAATGTAATGAAAATACATTTCTTTAAGAAATGCTTTGATAAATTTTTATCATACTTTGTTTTGGGAACAAATTCCGTAACACTTTTTACTCTGATTTTTATTAAAAAAACATAAACGAAATTGGTTTTTTCTGACCGTAAAAATGGGGATGTCATAACCCCCACCCCTGCCCCCGCCCTCGCCCCTGATTGATTTTGAGATATTCTTTATTGGGCTAAAATAAATTGTTTTTTGGGTTTAAAAAAGTTAATTTTTTGGGTTAAAAATAGTTATTTATAACATAATTTTTAAATGTTAAAAATAAAAATGTTATTACATCTCAAAAACGTTATACTAACAAATTAAAAACATGATTTTTTTGTTAACTTTTGGAAACTCAAAATCATTGATATATATATATATATATATATATATATATATATATATATATATATATATATATATATATATATATATTAACAGGGCCCCATAGGGGTTCGGGACGAAACTGCCTATCCCCGTCCCCACCCCCGAAATTAAAACGGGGGTTAATCTTACCCCCGCCCCGTCCTGATTATTTTAACAAATATCCTCCATGTGGGATCGGGGTCCCACGAGATTTTTTGACACCTCTAGAACAAACTATTTCATATTAATGACCTCCATCATATGAATACATGAACGTGTAAAAGGGAGATATAATGGGATGAATAAGCAGATGCAAATAGAGGAACAAATATAAGATACATGCATATATGTAACGTCCAAAAAATACCGAGTAAAACTTTTATTTTAAATAAGTCAAAACCATTCATATATTATCTCAAAAGACGATTAGAGTAAAAGTATTCTCAAAACACCAGAGTAAAATAAAAAATAATCATTGCGGAATAAATCTTCAGGGGATGTAGTGCGATCAAACCGGACTCTTCTTTTAAAACTGGAAGTACTTGAAAATGTTTAAACCACAAAACCGTGAGCACAAAGCCTAATGAGTTCCCCAAAATACCGCATACCATACATGTAACATCCCAAAATTCATGACCAAAAATTTCGTTTTGATTAATTAAAAACCGCTTAATAAATTGCTCAATCATTTAATAGCATTCATAATAAAACAATTATCAGAGTTTTAAATCCCAAAGATCATCTAGTGCGGAAAACATGGTGTGATGCGCTGCGATCGCCCCTAGCTCCTTCCTTGGAAAAAACATTAGTACCTGAAACAAATAGTTGAAGCCGTAAGCACGAAGCTTAGTGAGTTCCCTAGATACCACATACCATACATATCAACTGATCCATACATGCCATACATAACCACGAGCCATACATAACAAACATGTCCATAATCAAGTAAGGTGCTATGTGCCAAACATAGTCTTGCTGTTATGCCACGGGCCGCACGTGGTCTTTCTTGCCAAGCTTGGGGCCACTCCCTGGGTCTTACAGACAAGTGCCAAGGGCCACCCCTGGTCTTCCATGCAAGCATCACAAAGACAACTATATATACTACTCTACTAGGCTACTCAGCATACAGTGTGCCAGAAGCCACCTCCTGGTCTTTCATTCATAATAGCATACAGTGTGCCAGGATCCACCTCCTGGTCTTTCATACAAAATGCCTAGGGCTAACCCCCGGGTCTTCCTACTATACATAATATCATGCAGTGTGCCAGGAGCCGCCTCCTGGTCTTTCGTACATAATGCCTAGGGCTAACCCCCGGGTCTTCCTACTATACATGAACTAAATGGGTCGGCATTGTGGCCGTAGACCCATACAAACAGTGAGGAGACTCACCCCGCACTGCTGAAGACTAACTGAACACTTCTGACTACTAACCGGCAACTCCTGAACTGCTGACCCTTTGGCTTCCCGAACTATCAATACCCAAAATAACATTTAGACCACAATATTCCAAAAGTCAACCCATGTCAAACTTGGTCAAAGTCAACGGTCAAAGTCAACGCTCCGAGTTGACTTCAACTCACCGAGTTGGCCTACCAACTCGTCGAGTCCCACATTCCACACAAAATTTTGGACTTCGATCCCACTTGTCGAGTTCTCCGTGGACTCGTCGAGTACACCTTCAACACATCGGGACCTTCCTTCATCTGACTCGCCGAGTTCTCCCTTGAACTCGTCGAGTCCACCTTCATAAATTAGGGAGATTGCCTTGGACTCGCCGAGTTCCTCCTTGAACTCGTCGAGTACGATGATCTCCAGGTCCCCTAAGAACCCAGACTGGCCGAGCCCCTTTCCAACTCAACTCATCCCCTTTAACAGAAGCGTTTTGGGGCACTAAAACGGTCTGACTCGCCGAGTCCCACTAGTGACTCGCCGAGTCCCTCTATGTCCCAATCTATTCAGACGATTTCTGAGGGTCTCAAAGCATCCAAGACCCAAATCTAACCTTCTAGGGTCGAAATAATTCGTAAAGCCTCTGCCTTTACATCCATGTATGACCCTTTTTGCTCAAAAGGCCATAACAACCTCTTAAACCTTGCATGGGAAGTTCTAATGGCATAAAGCTTGCACCTTTATGCCTTAACCACTCTTAGGGACCCCAGATCTGAAAGGATCTTTGCTTGGGACATCCTTGTCCCATAGATCAAGCTCCATGGACCAAAACTCTCAAAAAGTGGACATAAATAGATCTAAAAAGCTATAAGCCAAGATGAAGACTTGATTACCAGGAAATGATGGAAATGAGATGGTGTTGCTGGATCTACAAGTTCCTCCCTGAACCTTCAATCTCCTTCTTCTTCTTCTAGCCTCCAAGAACACCAAAATACTCAAGAATGGCTCACACACTCACCAAATGATCTAGGGTTTCGTGGGTTAGGTTCTGGACAATGGGGGTTGGGAATGGAACCAAGAGGAGGAGAATAAGATGCTTAAATAGGGTGCCAAGTCCCGAATTTAGGGTTTCCTACCCCAGGCCAGACTCGCCGAGTCGGCCACTTAATCCGCAGCACGGAACTCGCTCCTACTCGTCGAGTTCCTCCCTGGACTCGACGAGTAGACCTCTTGACTTGGGGTTTTTCCCTTCATTTCTTGGCCTTCTAAATTTGGGGTGTTACAATACATATATGTCAGCTCAAGGTTGTACCGGATCTATTTCACCTCCGGGTCTATTTCACTCCCTATGCTCTCTCGATTGTCCATATGTGCTCCCTTGAAACCCTTCATCCCGTTTGTGGTTCCATCACATATTGTCGACGCGCTGCTTTAAGTTCTAGATCTCACAAAAAGTCCGCCCGAGTTCTTCTATATGTGTCGTATTCTCGTTTCCTGTACCTAATTCCAATTTTTTTATATCTTCCTTTTTCGGTCTCATTGCATACCAAGATTCTTGTTTCTGTTTCATTTACTATGAGCACTTGTAACTCTTGGCCATTTTCTAGCCTTCGCTTCAAGACTTTCATAATCAAGTTAAACATTATTGATGCTCCAACTTAAGGGGAGTTTTAAGATACAAGTAATATATGGTTTTATTAGTTCTTGATGTAGCTTTTATCTAGTTTCTTGTGTAGGTAATCCTTTTGTATATAAATTGTTGGTTAAACCTCACTATCAAATGCAAGATATGATTTTCAGATTTCCAGCTTATTGACATGGTACGAAACACCCTGCCCCTGAGTTCAACTTAACGAGGGAAAATAAGGAAAATTGATGGAAGTGAGAAGAAAGTAAAAGAAATTGATGTTCCTAAGTTTCATTAAACGAAGGAAATGGAAAGAAATGAAAGGAAAACTTTCCCTCCTAACGTTCCTTCCAATCTGGAAGGATTTGAAGAGAAATGAACAAAACGGTTAACTTTCCTTTCGGTTCTCTCAAACTCGGAAACACAAAATACAATTTTATTGCACTTTCATTTCTCATCTTTTCTCTCCCTTTCTTTTATTTTCTTTACTAAAACTTGGGAATTAGACATTAGTCTTGACCTAATCGGGACCCTGGTTAGCTTTGGAGTTACCTTCCGACTCCCGTTCTTGAAACCTTCAGCACCATAAAATGTTTGCCGAGTCGTGCTCTAGTTCCCCTTGTTTGCCTGGCCTTGGTTGTCGACATCTGGCCAAAACCCTAGCACCCTCCGGCACCGACTTCGTTCGAATTCCAAATTTGTTCTCCTGAAACCCTTCTTCCCGCTTGCTCGCCCTTAGATCTTGATGTCGTCACTGCCTCCGGTTCCAGATCTCACTAGATGTTTTGCATGAGTTCTTTTATCTGCTTTGCGTTCTTGTTTCCTATACCAGATTCTAGCTCATATATACGTTTTTGCTTTAGTAACATTCCACATCAAGATTCATGTTTCAGTTGTAGTTGGTCCAAATCATTTTCTAACTTCCACTTCAAGACTCTCGGAGTCAAGTCGAACATTATTGATGCTCCAACTTGAGAGGGGGTGTTAAGATAAAAGTAGTATAAGGTTTTATTAGTTTTTGAAGTAGCTTTTATCTAGTTTCATGTTTAGGTAATCCTTTTGTATATAACTTGAGGGTTAAACCTCACTTTCAAATGCAAGATATAATTTACGGATTTCCCATTTATTCATATTGACTAAGTTCAATGTTAATACAACAAAATTTGAATTTTTTTTTTTCTCTATTTAAAAAAAATGGAGAAATAAGGTAGGACATGGACTTATTTTTTTGCTTCCATATTGCATTTTTTCAAAAGACGTAAATACCCTCCGTATCCTCGTCATCAAAACTAACCTTAAAAAACATGTATCCTTCATCCCGAGCGTGGTACATCCTATCCTAATAAAGGAATAAATACTACAAGGAAAAAAAAAACTAGTGTCTACCTTCACAACAAAGGATCACTCCAACATACTACAAAAATGCTAAACATAATAAGCAATCTTGGGCAAGTTCAAATGATTATTTCGTTAGTAAAAACATATTTTAATATTTTTGTCTAATATAGATCAGTTTACATTAACTTACTACCATTAATTTAACATGTAAGATGATTCAAAACCACTAAAAATAAATAAAATACATTAATCTACCACCATTTTTTGTTAAGCTTGCTAACTATTTTTGGTTTACATACCGAGAGTCATTAGATCCTACCTTCCATTGCTCAAATTCCCCACATTTTAGCATGAATGAACTTGCATTTCTATGGCCACCACCTCCATGTTTCTGCAAAGATTAAAAAGAGTTTCAAAACTCACAATGTTCACAAATAAGGAATTGAATGAAGAAGAACAAAACCTGTGATATAACTGTTGTATCTTCATCTTCTATACTTCTTAGGCTTATTTTTAAAATTTCATCATCTTTGAGATCCGGTACTCTGTAGACCACTGCACCTATTCCCCTACACCAAAATAAATGAGACAACAAAACAATTGTAATTCCTTTTTCCCACCTTCACTCTTGAAAATAGTCCTAAAAATCTTGTCAATAATGGAGGTATGACAAACCTTAAGTTCTGATTCCGGCTTTTTTCAGCTAATTGGTGGCCAAGTTCACTTCTTAGATCGGAAACGGAATCAGCATTAACAGCCTGACAGGAATGGAATAGCATTAGTCATTGGAATCAGAATAACCTTTTTATCTCTTCAAAAACAATTCCAAACATCGAACAGAATAAACTTAAAGATTTATAAGTGAAATTTACCAGACAATGTCCAGATGCTCCATCATCAAGAACAATCTCATATGATTGCTCAAGAACCTCATTTATTAAAGTTTGCTTCTGTGATAAACTCTGCTTGCCTTGATTTATAACATATTCCAGATCCAAAGATAGCAACTACAAATAAAAAACCAATAGTAACTTTTAGTATTAAAAAATATAAAATACATCCACATTTATAAAGATTTACCTGCTGAAATAACAAGGGGTTCAATGTTATGTTGAATTCAAAGTTCATATCTTTAAGACCACTACTGAAAGCTTTGCTGTTGTCAAGATGCCACCTCCATAGATCTGCATCTTCAATATATTCAAATATCCTTCGAGAGCTTTCAAATTTATGGATACCCAATTCAAGATTACTCAAATTGTTTCCATTTTTAAGAGCTAGGGTTTTTTCCTTGAAATAATCATAGGCAATGGTGGCCCCACTCCTTCCCATATCTATCACTTTTGTCACATTCTTATAGGAAAATTCACCTTCATCAAGCATCTTGAGTGCTGTTTTATGATGATCTAATATTATCACACTACACAAATTAAAACAAAAGACATGAATGATACAGAATTACAGACATAAGCATATGTTTAGACTAGTAGATCTATCTTCATTACAACCTCATTTGCATTTTGACTTAATGTAAAAAAATGGACTTCATAGAGAAAGCCATAGAAACGAGAAACAAACCGGTCAACTTTGGGAGAGAGTTGCTGAACAAAACCCGGGGGTCCAACAAAATCAAGGAGATAAGCATCACCGATTTGATCAAGAGGAAGGTCTTCGACTCTGATATGATTATTACAACTTGGGAAATTAGAATTAGAATAAGATAATCAATTGACTAAAATCAGGCATAGTTAGAAATATATCACTGGTTTTGAATCAAATTCAAATAATGACAGCTAACTTTGTCATAATTGCTAATTTGGTGATTAAAGTTCATGAAATCACTAAAACCATAAAAATTTGAACTTTGCAAAAAGTTTCATGTTGAACTCTAGGTGCTAATAAGAGGTAAAAAATGCTGCCACCTTAGCCCAAATTACCCAAAATCAAACTTTTTGCAAATTTCAAACATTTTTTTGTTGATTTTCAAACTTATGGCGACTAAATTAGAAATTGGAACACAGTTGATTGCATCTTTTTCAGTTAGCCCCATTGTTTTCTGTAAAGCAAGAAACAGTAATTAAGAAATTACTTGAGTGGGGAATAAACAGTGTTGGGAAAGAAGAGAGCTGGAACAGAGGAAGCAGTGAAGTAAATATGAGCTGCCAAAGCAGCAAATGCACCATCAGGACATGGATAATGGTAGAGCACTGCTGTTTGCTTCAACGCCATTCTATCGATAGATATTGTTCTGTTAGCGTTTACAGTCACATAATCACAAGTAATCTGGATGTAACCAAGTAATCCAAAAGGATTAAATTAGAACTCACGTGTATGAAACATGATCAAGCAATCGAAATTGAATAATAGGGTTGATTAAACGCTACCGTGAAAAAAGAAGTGCTACGCCTGTAAGTTGAAATTGATGAGACGAACAATTTTAGGGTTTCAATTTTGAGATTATACAGTTGGGATTTGGGGCTGGAGATTAGGGCAAAGAAGAACTAGGGTTTGAATAGAAGTAGTGACGTGTTACACACGTGGTGCACTTAAGGATTTTTTTTGTTATTTTCTTTTGAGAGTGGAGATTTAAACCGAACACTCATTTTCTATTTTTTCAGGGTTATGGTTTTTTGAGGGTTTGGTTGCATGGATGTAGATTTAAGTGTTAATAACAGGTATATGTGTAATAATGTGTAATTTGTTAAGGAAACATTTTCGAGCATTTCTTAACAATATCAATCCTAATCCTAATCCTAATAAATGAATCATTTTGACACGTGTCACTACCTCTTTGCCATTCCATATGAAAATTTAATTACCTTCCTACCCCCAATCCTTATGTCATACAACTTTTTGTTTCATTCGAGCAACATAAATTCCGATAATTTTTATCCTTCACCCATAATATCTAATTGCAACGACCAATAAAAATTCGTTTAAATTAGGAACTAATAAATGAGTAAATGATAAATAATACATTAGCCATATATAAATTGATATCCCTTGACATCAGCTGCTGGTTTAAATTCATATTTCAAATTTGAAATTTTTTATCAATATTTCCGGAAATCATCTTTAATATGTAAAACAATAATATACTTACCCCTTTCATTTAGTCAATATTTATATTATATCCAATTCAATGAAATTCAATAACCATATACTATTCATCACATAAACTGTCTCCTGTGTATCAAAAATATTTTTTTCTAGTACATGTTTTTTTGCTTTTGGTGTTTTGTATTTGTATGTGTATGTGTTTTTGTGTCATTGTGGTTGGTTGTTTGTTTCTATTGTTTTTTGTTACTACTGTTGTTATATTTTTTCCTTCACCACAGAAACTTTCTACATCACAAAAAACAGTTACCTTATTACCTTATGATTCCTAATTTCCAACTAATTCTTTATTTGTTGTCTTTTCGGAATAGAGTTTTCATTGCAGAAACCCACAAAATATACTCTAATAAATGAAGGTTTTTTTTTGCCACTTGTCACACTTTCATTCAATTTGCCAAATGTCATTTTGTGGTTATTTTAAATTAATTTTTATTCCACATGTCATTTTATGTTTTTTCTATTTTATTAAATTCCACATAGCATTTAAATGCAATAATAAATGCATATTAATATCCTTAATGAACTTTCCTTTTAATTTCAAAATTACTAAATTAAAGCTTCATTGATTTTCTTTATTTATTTATGTAAAGCATTTGTTTAAATTTAGAGAAAAAAAACCAATTTAATTTTTATAATTCAATATTTTTCTCATTTTTCTTATAAATTCAAACTTCTCAAATATTTAGAATTTTATATATTCAGTTTTTTCTTTTAAATGAACCCATGTAATACATGGGTCTCATACCTAGTAATATTATAAATAGTTTTGGGTACTTTTCGAAATAGAGTTTCCAACTTCAAATTTGATATTTTATGCCTATTTATTTTTTGACCAATTATTCATTAACAATTAAACATATAATCATAATGAAACTTATAAAAACTCTAAGAATGTTCATCGGCATTTTTTATTGCATGAAATTGCTAATTTTTTACGATTCAAATAATATTTATTATACTGGTGGCGCTAAAGACAATAGAAAATTTAAAGAACTATATTTGAACAACATAAAATCTAATAAAATGGCTGCAACATCAAACGATCAAAGTTCATTTACATACGTCTTTATATACATGTAGTTTTGTTACATTACCTCATTTTTCGGATTTAAAATTTCATTTTATTACCGTGTATGATTGTCGTTCTTATTTTGACCTTTTCAAAATTTATTTTTCTATGTACACTATCATCATTTTCTTATTAATCATCATTCAAATAACATTTATTACAATTTTAAACCATTTGATATAGAGATTGTAGATAAAGATATTGTATCAAAAGAAGCGTTTATAAATCTATCATTTTTTATTATTATCTAAGTTATTCTAATTTGTTACCGTTAACATATCAAATTTTATAAAAATATTAATATTTGCAAATCTATGATTAATGATTACTTTTGTGTATAGAGAAGTTTTTAAAAATTTGTAAACAATTTGTAGAATTTTTTTTATATAATATTGTTTTTATAATTAGTAAAACACATTTTATTAATCATTTGAATTTGTAATTTATTTTATTGTGTTCGTATAAGTTTCTTATATTATCTTTTTTTTTTTGCATATAATAATATCATTTTCATGATTCGTAGTGTTTGCTTCTTCTTTATTTTTCTTCTTCAGTCTATTCAGTTTTATATTTATTATATAAAATTATCATTTTTTTTTATTAATCTACACATAAAAAAACGTTGCTCATATATTCAAACCATTTTACATATTAATTTGAACTAACCATTAAAGATACCGAGAAAACATGATGACTATGCTTTTGAATTATCAATATTCTTTTACTTTATCTCTCATGGATTCCACGGGTTGTATCCTAGTGATTTAATAAACATAAGTTTGCTCGATATCATTCAAACGTCGAGAGGTATTGTATTTACATCTTCTGATATTTGTTGGAAATAGATATAGAATGTGTCGCAAAAACAAAAATATCAATACACCTTCTATTTTTGTCGCTCACATACACAACCATACACCGACAAAGTCAAAGCTACATCATATGCAAACACACATAACCACAAACACATACAATTATAAAATTGTATTTTGAAAATTCTACTAACTATATCACGACATAATTTAGAGTAAGTACAATAACAACAAACAACATTACTCCATCTCAATCCAAACAAGGTAAGGGGGATGTATGATGGTTAGTGTAACACCGTGAAAATTTACAACCAATTTAAACTTTTCAAAAACAACTCATATTCATTAAGTTATTACAAAAAGGTTTCCGACTCATTTATTATCAGAGTATCCCAGAAACATCAACATAAAACTGAGGAGCGGTACGATCACGCATTCGTCTTGCCACGGTCTCCTGAAGTACCTGAAACAATACACTGAAACTGTAAGCCTGAAAGCTTAGTGAGTTACCCCCAAAATACCAACCACAATACCATACACATATCATATCATATCATAAACAGAACAGCCATGCATATCGAGTCTACAGTGTGACTGGTCCGCCTGCACCAGGCCTTCAGTCCACCCGGTCCTCTCTCTCTCCGAGTCTACAGTATGACTGGTCCGCCCGCACCGGGCCTTCAGTCCACCTGGTCCACTCTCTGAGTCTATAGTATGACTGGTCCGCCCGCACCGGGCCTTCAGTCTGTACGGACCGCTTGTCGGGCCTTTGGTCTAATCGGTCCGCCCTGGGTATGTTGGCCTACAGCACAAAGCAGGATCCGCCTCAACCCAACCCCAGTCCAGCAACCGTGCGCACATAAACATATAATCATATAACATCACACAACTAATCAAACCGATCCAACATATCACATAACATAGCAACATCCTAACCAGGATACCGACCTAACCGGTCGCTAGCATAGCATCATCCTATATACCAGGATACCGACCTTCACCAGGTCCCTAACATATACCATCCTAACTACTGGGATGCAGACATAGCAAAACAATAACATAACAACAACTACCCGGATTTCCATCCGATAAAGGGCCGGCCTTGGTGCCTTAGACCCTGTTGATATAGTGAGGATAACTCACCTGTTGTAGCTGACTGAAGAGGTAAGATCACGCTGCTCCGACCACCGACACAAACTCCACCGCTGAACATTACCAATTAACCAAATCCAATAAATACCAATAATTACCAAAATACCCTTGGAAGTCAAACTGGTCAACCCTTGGTCAAAGTTAAAGTCCTCAGTCAAAGTCAACCTTCCTGGTTGACCCTACTCGCCGAGTCAACCCGTCGACTCGTCGAGTTCCTTTACTCAGAAACTCCCATAATACGACTCAACTCGCCGAGTCGCCCCAAGACTCGTCGAGTTCAACAATCTCAGAGTCTCATCCTGTTTAACTCACAGAGTCGTCCCTCGACTCACCGATTCGAGGCTTAACCAGAAAAGGTTAGGGTTCCACGACCAGACTCGCCGAGTCCAAGAACAGACTCGCCGAGTCCAAGGCAATCTTCAACAGACTCGCCGAGTCCAAAACGTGACATCTTCATTCAGACGATTTCAGGCCATTTCATTGCTTCCAATACATAGATCTGGACTCCTAGGGCCAGATTCACACGTAAAGTTTCCAACTTTACGTGCATGCAAGGCTCAACAAGCTCTAATCAAGCTACAAGGAGGTTTTGGGACATAGATACTCTAAATAAAGCCCCATGGCTGATGCTTTAAGCTTCCATGGCTCACTATTAACCTAGATCTGAAGTTGCAACTTCAGATCTAACCTCTAAACCCGAAATGGATTCCAATCAAGCTAAAATTCCCAAAACAACAACAAAGAATGGATCTAGAAGGAGAAAACTCAAGGTAACGACTTGTTACCTCAGAAATGTGCCCAAGAAGGAGTAGATTCCGGATCTACAATGATCTCCCGATGCTAGCCTCTTGATCTCCTAACTTTGTCCTCTTAAATTCTTCTTCCAAGCTCAAACTTTAACAATGGAGGCTCACACACACTAATTAGGGTTTCTGGAACTCAAATGGGAAGTAAAGAGGCTGAGGGTGGCTATAATGTGCTTTATATAGGGCACAACTCCCGGAATTAGGGTTTTCTCCCTTCAGCACCAACTCGCCGAGTCCACTTCCGACTCGCCGAGTTGGTCACTTAACACATGACCAGAATCGCGACTCGACTCGCCGAGTCTATCCATCGACTCGCCGAGTCGACCTTCCTTATTTACACTAAGAACCCTGAACTTGCACTTCTGAACTCGGGGTGTTACAGTTAGCATCTCCCACACTGTAAGGTTGAGAGTCTATTTCCATAGATCATAAGAGACATCCGACAAAAGAAAAAAAATACAAATAAATGTATAAAAGTGAAAGTTTTGTTATCGTGCTTACATTTGGAGTATCCATGCATAAGATCTTTGCACATAAAATGTCAACTCATGATAAAAGATAAAGTGTTCAATGTCTAAAAGAAGAGACCAATAAAATTTAAACATAAAGATGGGCAAGGGTCGACCATGAATGAATACTCAAGTAGTGGATGTAGATATAAATTTGTTAAGAGCAATTCATGTTGTAATTAAAAAGGGGAACACAAATAAGGTAAGAATTGACCGGAAAGCACTACCACTAAAAAGGGAGCTAGACCCTATACTACGTCAATACTAGATAGATGCCTTGATTATAAGTCTCCATAGTTTCCTATATGAGCTCATGTCCTCAGAAAGGGCTAA